AAGTGCCAAGGAACCGTGGAAATTCTTCCTTAAACGGCCTTCCTGCCAATCTTTCGCCCTGAAATACGGTTATATCGGCTTTGGGGTGCGCGAAATAAACGGTTACATAAAGTTTTCGATTGGCGCGTGGCGTAACCACCCCTGTCCAAGGGATGGCCGCCCATCCTGCCCGGGGATACACATATGTGCACTTGTTCGCCCGTAACAGACCATCTACCCTCGTCCGGACGTTGTATTATATCGCGGACGATATTATGGTGCTATTGTATTTAAAGCGACGACCATTTCATGAATCAGACCGTGCTCCAGTTAATGAACTTCCTACGAGAGGATAATTGACAGAATGCTCACTATGTACGTACTATAAATTTGCTTTTACATCTGTCTACTGAAATTACTCGTGTCTTTAGAATTCTTCCTACACACATTATAGAAAAATAATTTACTGCTAAGAACATTTTGATTACTTTATTTACTTTTATTCTTTTAATTAATGGTTATCTTTAACAAAAATATTTTCTTGACAATCTTAAAATATACTTTGAGATATATTTGTTAGAAATTTTTTTAAGAAAAAATTATTATGTACTCAAGATAAGAGAGATTTCATTTCTTTTTTTTTTTCGAAATTAGATTATAAAATGTACATATATTATAAATGTTTCTGTTTGTACACATTTTTTCTCTTTTTTCCTTGTATGTATGTCTAATATTCGAGATTAAAAGTATCAATTTCATTTAACATTAAATACTTGAAAAGAATTTTGTTTGTTCTGGTATCTAAAAAATTTAACTGAATATGGATCTAAAGATAATGTTAGGTTATTAAAAACATTATGCAAGACGCTCAAACTGGTTACCAGAACCTGCAAACGTTGTTTGCAGTATTGCTTATGGAACTTGAATTTCCTGCATAATTATTTTGTGATCCAACAGAATTATTTTCAGATCAGTATCAAAATTAAATTTTTAGACACTTCAGCAAAATCGTTCTTTCCGTATAAAGTTCGAAGCTCTCTAATAACGATCTTTTATTCTCCGCGTAATTTCATTATGAACGCAATTAGCGTTCGGTTCTCCCAAAGGTGTCGGCCAAGAGAGATGGTAAGAAGAGCGGGGGAAAGTTCGATCGCGTCTGGATGCGATACGTGTCCGTCGCAAGAGCGGTCCGTAGTGCCGGATGCACGTAACTTGACGGAGGAGAGAGCCCTACGTGCCTGCCGATGCAGCCTCACCCCAAGGGTGGAGGGTTAACTCCCCCCCCCCCGACACGAGAGAGCTCAATATATATTAAGATCCGCGAACCCCTCGGACTAAAAGTTCGTAACGTTCCCCTTCCTGCTCATGGAAGACTTCCTACGGACTCTCGCTAACCTCCCCTATCCGACAGCTACGCCGTCGGAATTGCGATTATGGTGGCGATATTACTGGGCGTAGGGGTAGTGCCCTAACCACGAGGGTGGCAGTATCCTACGTCCACGTTTGTCTTTATAGTTTTCCTCTTTTTCCGCTCATCTCGCTAGTGCGAGCGCATTCTGAACTTATTGACTTTTACTTCTAAGCCATCGACTCCTATCTCTATTTATTTGCCACGGTTTGATCTGCGAGAAAGAAGCCATGGGTGACAAACGGTTCTTTTCCTTAGGATTCCTAGTAGTGAAAGCACCACAGGGTAGCTCTCAGGTAATTTAGGCTGTCCCAACCACATTAGTCTCAAAGTGTATCTTTTGTCAACGTTGTGCTTTTTCTCCAGCAAATCGTAAATGTCTAACCATAAAAAAAAACCAGGACAAATAGTTATAGTTGATGAGAGTTTCACCGGACAAGGATACTTGCTGTGGTCTTGACAACAAAAAATACGGTGCACAAAATAAAGACTCAGGGATGTGAGGATACGTGTAAAAAAATAACACAAATGGAACGTCACAGAGGTTTCAATACAATTTTGTGATTCATCATCCGTTGTTACCCTTGAAATGCATGAAGACTGAGGAAAACGATGTTGGTGGTTTACACGTGCCATCTCTCGTTTCGTTTCGTGCTTTCTCCGCCAATGCGGAAAATAGCGAGACACGTCTACCTACTACAAGACGGCGAGACGAGGGCGCACGATCGATACTCGACCACAAAGACGCTAACCACGGCATAGTTTTCATCGACATCAAACGATCATCAGTCGATCGCACGATACGCAAATGTTTCATACAATCTACCGGTTATACTTAATGCAACCGGATAACTATACGTTCTAGAAAAAAACTATCGTATGTATTCTACTCTACTAATCCCAATGATATTTTCACATTGAGCTATTATGTTATACCTCCAATCTTCATTCTGGAGTACGTGATATAGTATTTAAAAAAAGAATATTCTAATTAAACCAACAAGAATCCAATAAGAAATGACAATTTCACGAAGCAAATAAAGAATTTCTGGTTGTGATAGCCATTTTGTTGGTTTCATTAGAATCTTTTTCCTTCCCATTGCACAACATTATTATACACTGCTAATAATATTTTATAATTTTAAGCATTTAATAATCTCTCGTATTTGTGTCAGAAACAGTCAACTCAAAATTTTGTGTTAAATTTTAGTATTTGAGTGTTAATTTAAAATTTAATATAATTGTGTTATTTGAATATTTTGTGTTAAATTGATATTCAATATATTTTATGTTGAAATAATAAATACATAATGTATGAATACGTGAATAAATAACACAAAAAGTTTTAATGTAAATTCTAAGATAAATATAAATAAAATACTTTTATGAATAAGACGTTTAACATAATATAAATGTTTATTTTAATGCAGAAATATGATTGCTTACGAATTGTAGCAATGTTACGGTCTTTGTGTTAACTCTTTTTATATGACATTTAAGTTACTTTTTAACATATTTGTCTTGCATTAAATAAACACAAAAATTTGAGTGAATTATTTGGGACATACGAAATGTGTAACTTTTAACACAAATTTTCTAACCAAGTAAGCACATGAAAAATTACAAGATCTATTATAATCTTTTTCTACAGTACAAGTCTTACTTGTGACGTAAATCTTAACTAAGTGGAAATCTTCCATAAAGCTAGAACGAAAAAAATGTGTCTGTGCACACAGGGATGACGGGAACCGATATCATGGGATTGCAATGAAATATAATGCAGTGGCTAATCGCCTTTTCTTCCAATTCCGATGAGTAATTTCACGGGACAGTCGCGCCAGTGGGAAATCCGTCTCGCCGAAAAATCGACGCGGCGTATTAAAACAAGGACGACTCTCGGTGCGATCCAATTAAATGCCGCGCTGCGTTAACGACACCGTGTCTCTTCGTCTTTTCCTCGCAGCTTGCAGCGAGGATGGAAGCAGCAGGCATAGACACAGCCACGGAGGGCTCTATGCGAAAGGGAGGATGAATTTTACCGTCCTTAATGAAATTTCCCAGACGATAAAGAACCTCGACGAAGGCGTCGAAATAAATACGTGCGACGGTGATAGTAGCGCGTTTTCTCATTTCTCTGATAATCCTTAGAGAGAAACATCGCAATATCGATTAACAGAAAAATAAAAATAATAATGTAGAATGCTTTAAAGAGCGCGTAGCAGGTTCGAATTTTCATTCTCGCGAATCGTGTATAAAACGATAATATCCATTAATCCAATTACATTTGCGAGAGTATTCTATCGTAAAAGAGCGCACCGTATGCTTACTTTAAAAGCGGCACGAATCCAGTTTCGCAAACCTCGCTAAAAACTATTAATTGCGATCGGAGGCGTGCGAAGGGTACCGGATCGTAATTCGATGCGCGGACGACGGCGAATTGCGGAACTGCACCTCCGTGGTTCCCGGCTACTGGTACTCTCGAACCGCTGAAAAAGCTTTTTTTCGCCGGTAGCGCTTTAATGAAATTTTTTCGACCTCGTCATCGTCCCCGTAATAATCTCCCTTTTGCGACCGGGTAGCCGGCGCGGCTGAATTTATTGCAGCCCGCCTGCCGGAAACACGTCCGTGAGGAAATCTTCTGGATAAGAGGCTCACGAGCTCTACCTCGGTCTACCATTTTTTGTCACTCCTTACCTGCCGAGTCTTTCCTGGTCCGAATATGAAATACGCGGGAGCGGAGAGACGCGTAAAAAAAAGCGGCTTTGGAGGGAGGGAGGGAGGGAGGGAAAGAGAGAGAGAGAGAGAGAGAGAGTAAGAGAGAACGAAGGAAAGAGAAAGGGAAGAAAGAAAGAACGAGAGAGAGAGAGAGAGAAAGAGAGAGAGAGAGAGAGAGAGAGAGAGAGAGAGAGAAAGAAAGAGAGAGAATGAAAGAGAGCGAAAGATTTGTTAGTATTATAAGCATTAGAGCCGAGAGCAACGCCGATTAATACTGATTACGATTGTACATATTTCTTTTTCTAAATAAAACGATGGATCCTTCTTGCCCTGGTCGGAACTTTTTGCGGTCGCTCTTGGGACGAGCCCGAGAGCCAAGGGGGGGCAATAAAACTAATGGTAACGCGCGCCGGTAATTCCTTGCGGTCTGTTTGTCGCAAGTCGACGACCTGGCCTCTCCGCCTCGTCATTTACCGAGGGAGGATTCTACGGCCAATGTCGGCCGACCGACGACAATGACGACGGCGGGTGGTGCTTTCTCGCTTTCGTCGCGGTTGGTGGTAACACGTAGAATTAGGTTAGCATCGCGGATTTTAAGTGCCGGATGCTTTCCTGCATCGAAATGCGATCGCTTTCTCGATACCTTCGAAATAAGAGAGTTTCCGTTTTCGAAGGTAGAGATCATTGTCCACGCTGGTCTCATTAACTTCAACTGAGAATTAGAATAGAAAAAAAAAGGGATTCCCATAAAATACATATTAACGTAATTTCCTTTCTTTTCAATCTGTTTTGCAGTGGGTAGAGGAGTCTTTTACAAACTTCGACAAAGGTATCAATTGGCGGAGTTACGTTGTCTGCGACGTAGCGTACACCAATGTGAACAACTGGCTGTGGACGCCATTCGTAGAGAGGGGTCCGGCGAATCGCATGTACATAGAAATCAATTTTACGACTCGCGACTGTTCGTTGTTCCCCGGGAATGCTCTCAGCTGTAAGGAGACTTTCAGTCTACTCTACTACGAGTTTGACGCTGCCACCAAGGAGCCACCCCCGTGGGAACCGGATAGTTATAAACTTATTGGTAAGTGATAATAACATAAAAAGCATAACAATTAAAAAATTTACTTCAGAAGTAGGATAATTATTATATATTATTTTGGGAATAACAAATCTAACAAAATTTGCAAAAAGATTAAGAATATTTTTTTGAGGAAACAATTAAAAATTTTAACTTTGTGCATAACTAATAGATAAATTAACCCTAATACATCAGATTACTGCTAATGGAAGAATAAAAATTTTTGTTGTCGGCGGAGGGTTACTAGGTTCTTTTTTTTTTTCATGTAGCTGTTGTCGACTAAACTCATCGCTCTCAATATTTAGGTTTTACATATGATTTTACGTATTTGCAGGTCGTATAGCTGCCGGCGAGGGTAGGTTCAACACAAACACCGAGGTGGTGATAAACACCGAAATAAAGTCGATTCCGGTGACGAAGAAGGGCGTCTATTTCGCCTTTCGTGACCAGGGCGCTTGCATATCGATCTTGGCCATCAAGGTGTACTACATCAGTTGCCCTGAGATTTCGGTGAACTTCGCTCAATTTCCGGCCACGCCAACCGGTCGCGAGGTTGCGCTTATTGAGCAAACACGCGGCATTTGCGTTGCGAATGCCGTCAAAATCGCCCAGCCGACTTTCCTTTGCAAGGGAGATGGTAAATGGTATCTGCCGACGGGCGGATGCCACTGTAAACCTGGCTACCAAGCTGACACGGACAAGCAGGAGTGCAAGGAGTGTCCGATAGGCAAGTTCAAACATGAGGCGGGCTCTCATACTTGCGAGCCATGCCCGGAGCACAGCAAAGCTTCCGATTACGGTTTCACGGAGTGTCGTTGCGACCAGGGCTATTATCGGGCGGAAAAAGACCCTAAGAAAATGCCTTGCACGCGTGAGTATTCAATTAAATTAACAATTTCTACCAAAAAAAATGCTCGTCTTTTGTCATTATTTTAAAATTTAGAAAGACAATCATTTAAGTAATTCCAAGAATCTAGGAGTTTCAAAGAATATCTGAAAGATTAAAGTTCTTTGTGTCCTCGAGTGTGTCTCTTTTAAAATATTAAATTTTGTACTTTATATTTGCGTTATATTAAATGTTCAATATAATGTTTATTAGTTGTGATATATTATATTCAAAGTAAGAGTTTTGTGTATATGGAAGATGGAAAGAATTTAGAGGTCGGCGTTCCGCGAAAATCTTCAAGACTATATGTTTTTTTGCAGAACCACCTTCGGCGCCGCAAAACCTGACCGTCAACTTTGTCGATCAGTCCACGGTGATCCTTTCCTGGAATGCGCCGCATATGCAGGGTGGCAGGTCCGACACGACTTACAGAGTGGACTGTGATTCCTGCAGCATGGGCGTCAAATACATTCCTAATACCGTGAGTTTTCATCAAAATCATATATTATATGCGATTATATTGATTGCGTAGTAGTTGAATTATTCCTCGATCAAAAAATTGACTTTGCTTTTATAACAGGAAATCTTCAATGACACGAAGATCACGATAACCGGCCTCAATGCAGTGACTACTTATCGCTTCCAAGTGTTCGCCGAGAACGGCGTATCGTCGTTGGTCGGCAAATCGGAATACGTGGACATTACTGTTACAACAGAGGCGAGCGTGCCAAGTCTAGTGAGCAACGTCAGGATCACAAGTGTCAAGAGCTCAGAGCTCAGCATCAGTTGGGACGCGCCAGATATCGGTGCTGGCGGAGACAACGATCTCGTCGAGCGATATGAAGGTAAAGCTAAAAAGCCATAATAACAATATGTTGCTACGCCATTGTACGGCAAGATCAATTCTAAATTGTCACTCGATCGCTTTGTGGCGGCGAGGGATTAATAATCTCGATATCTGGTACAGTGAGGTGTTACCCGCGCTACGACGACGCCACTAATGCAACCGTCATTCAAACGTCCGAGCTGTCTGCCACGTTCAAAGGTCTCAAGCCTTCCACGGATTACGCGATACAGGTTCGCGCTAAGACCACCCGCGGTTGGGGCGAGTACACGCCGGTGATATTTAAAAAGACACCCCACGCGATGGGTTTAGGTAAGCGCGTTTAGTGATATTTAGATTTACATTTTGCAATCTCCTTTGTACCGCGCCTTCAACAGAAATGTTTCATGCAGATTACGTCGGCGAGGATGACAACATGCAAGTAAGGATAATCGCAGGGGCGATCGTTGCTGTGGTCGTACTTCTCGTGATTATTATTATCATGACCGTTTTAATTCTTAGAAGGTAATTAAATCATTTTCTATATTTGAAATATATATATATATATCTTAAGTGTCGCGAATTATCGTATACTAACGCACGAAAAGCGATTTCTTTGCTTAATTCGATTGATATATGATTTCGTTGCAGCAGGGCCTCGGACGAATGCAACAAGAAACAACCGAGCGACTGCGATACCCTGGAATACAGAAACGGTGAAGGTACGTTTGCATTTTGCTCGAAATTTCTCTTTTTAAAAATTTATTATCGTTATTACCCGCCCCGCCCCCACAACCCTGTCACTTTCATAGTTGTTTCACTATGCCCTCGTGTCTTGTGACTAACTTTGGAATCACTGGCCCCCCTTAGATCCAGCAAGTATCGAAACTATACCCCGTATACAAACAGACCCACGATAATACGTTAAACACCCCCCTCAATACCGTAGAGATTTTTTTGCGGATGAGAGTGAGAGAAAGAGAGATAGCTGAACAATTAACACCATAAAGAAAATGAATGAAGAGAAAGCAGTCGGGCTCTGAAATACGTCCGCGACAAGGACTTAAAGAGAAACGATCGCTTTCCAACCAAAATTCACATCGATCTGGCTCATTGCTTGAGTGCGATTATTCTAACCAAATTCTTTCGATTCTTTCTTTTCATGTGCGATTCCCCTAATCTATCGAACCTGCCTCCATGAAAAATCCATGAAAAAATCCAATGAAACAATGTACACAATCGCCTGCTACTACAGGACTAGTTGTGACCTACAGTAAGTCTTCTCCAAACACCTCAAGTTTTGTTTTTTAGGAACTCAATTTTGTGTAGATTATTTTTGCAACCCCTATACATGCATTACACTCTCAATCTAAGTCAGACTTTACGCTTTTGCATATACACACACACACACCAGCAAACACAAGTACACAGCGCGCGCACGCGCGAGTAACAATTGTGCACGATACCTAATTTTCTTAGATACACATTATGTGTATCGCGTATGTGCGCATTATGCTTGCGTATGTTTGTTATGTTGCATTGCTCACGTTTCAATTGCATGTGTATTTTCCAGTGTGTCGATGTTAATATCGTATATGCTTTTTATATCTGGATTTCGTCCAATATATACTGGGAAGAACATAAAAGATAAAAAGAAATTACAGATACGTTTAAAGGAGTGCATTTTTAATCAACGCGTTATGTGGATTTTTATTTGAATCCGATTACGTATTTTTACAATGGTCTTATTCGTGATCAAACAAAGATATTTCAGTATCATTTCTTGCTTTACGTCATTAAAAAAAAATCATCATCATCGTACACTCGCCGCTTCTTTTTGTTTTGCTGTTTGTCAATTAGTGTGTTGGTTGTTGTGTTGTTCACAGTGCACTGCAAAATGGACAGTTCACCGATTGTGACAACCCATACCAACAACAAGAGCAAGTTCTCGCGTAAGTCCTTTGTTTCCCAAAATAATCTCCGGCCAAAATTTTCGTGACTGAAAGAAAAACAGTAACATGTCCGGACATGTCCGCACGATATATTAAAGGCATAACCGAACGCACCGACACTCGTACGCTCACTCCGAGTTCTCCACGATTATTATAGTTTAGCTTTAGTTACGCTACACTCCGTTCTGTTCTTTCTTCACTGTCCTAGATATGCGATATGGATGAAAAGTTTGGAAGTAATAAAAGCATGCTACAGCCCCGTGTTTCGCACGCAATTGCATCATGTTCTTGCATCCAATTTTTAAAATCTTATTTTTTATTTTTCTTCAACTTCAAGCGATCGTGCTTCACGATCGCTTATCTTCTTATCACGATATATGCAAAATACTTGGATGTTTCGAGATGGCTCAAACAGAAACTAAATTGGTGTGAACAAAGAAGATTGTAAAACAAAGAAAAACTGTTTGAATCTTGCGAAACATCCGAGACAAGCGGTGTAAAAAAAATCGCAGAATTTTCCGAATATATTGCAATAATCTTCAAAATAATTTAGCATGCAAAAATTGTGCATTTTGACATATGCGCGAATTTTTTCTAACGTACATAGACACCGCCGTTCGACATTAAACACATCAGAGTCTAAGCTAGATAAACACATACAAGTAAAAAAAATGACTCTTTTACTAAAGTGGGACTGAAAAAGAGAAGAGACATATTTTAGAATCCACCTGCGTTTGGCTTTCTTGGTTGTGTCTTGTTTTTTGGAAATTTTAAACTCGCTGACGAGAGAGAATGTGTGAGTGTTTCTTTTTTGCGGGATTTGACACGGTTGGCCGAGCGATAGAGCGAATGTTGGGACACGCGGTCTAGAGTTCTGTCAAAATTTCGCACCACCGGCCCTCGTGTTAATATAATGAACTCTGTTTTCGTGACGTTGCAGTGACCACGCCGCTGTTCACACCTGCAGTGGGGGTCGCCGCGGCGGGCGCAGGCGGCGCAGGCGGTGCAGGTGCAAGGAGTTATGTGGATCCTCACACCTATGAAGACCCGAATCAGGCAGTACGCGAATTTGCTCGAGAGATTGACGCTGGATATATCACGATAGAAGCTATTATAGGTGCGATTTTGTACATTATTATATGGAACACGAATGGTTATCAAATAAGGTATTTTAGTAATTTGATTATATTCTGGACAATTTTTTTATGATCATAGGTGGCGGAGAATTCGGCGACGTCTGCCGAGGGAAATTAAAATTACCTCCCGACGGACGGACAGAAATAGACGTGGCCATAAAGACCCTGAAGCCAGGCTCCGCAGACAAGGCCCGTAACGATTTCCTGACAGAGGCGTCGATAATGGGCCAATTCGAGCATCCCAACGTGATATTCTTGCAAGGCGTGGTGACGAAGAGCAATCCGGTGATGATTATCACAGAATTTATGGAGAACGGTAGCCTAGATACTTTCTTACGCGCGAACGATGGCAAGTTCCAAGTGCTCCAATTGGTAGGCATGTTACGTGGCATTGCCAGCGGTATGCAGTACCTCGCGGAGATGAACTATGTGCACCGTGATCTCGCCGCGAGAAACGTGTTAGTCAATGCCGCTCTAGTTTGCAAGATCGCCGACTTTGGACTCAGTAGAGAGATCGAGAGTGCCACAGAAGGAGCTTACACGACTAGGGTGAGCAAATTTAAATTGCAGAGTCAAAATTAATAGAAGCCAATAAGGCTCGAATATATATTTATAATTTCTTGCTCGATTAATCTACCATTTGTATTCAGGGTGGTAAAATTCCGGTACGGTGGACAGCACCGGAGGCGATAGCGTTCCGTAAATTCACGAGCGCCTCCGACGTTTGGAGTATGGGTATCGTATGTTGGGAGGTGATGTCGTACGGTGAGAGGCCGTACTGGAACTGGTCGAATCAAGATGTGATAAAATCGATCGAGAAAGGCTATAGGCTTCCAGCGCCGATGGATTGTCCGGAGGCTATCTACCAGTTGATGCTCGATTGCTGGCAGAAAGAACGCACTCATCGGCCGACCTTCGCCAATCTCACACAGACTTTGGACAAGCTCATACGAAGTCCGGACACATTGAGAAAAATCGCTCAGAACAGGTAAAAGCGCTCATTTGTCATTGTAATCGTCAAATATTGATATGTGATAGGAAACTGCGAAACAATTTTTAAGTTATATTAGTCGCAAAAATAAAATAGGAAATCCATTTCATGAATCAAATGTTTAGCAATTGTAATTATCATACGACGTAAATCAAAGGAATATGACGGGATATGTATAATCGGCATACAACGAATGAAATTTGCTTTAAGTGCTTTGAGTGCACGTTTGCAAACAGTTATCATTGTTTCATTGATATTATCTCAACGTTCTTTTTTTTTTTCATTTATCTCCCATTGAGTCGCTCGTTCATTAATATCTTAATAAGAATCACGCCGCATGCTACGTGACTTATAAATCGTGTCCATAAATTAATTTCTCTCGACAACTAATAATTATTTTCATTCATTTGCCGAAACACTCACGCGTGAATCATGCTCTACATCCGTTTCACGCCACTTAGAATGGGATTTGGTATTGTGGCTCATTGATGTATGACGTCCCGCACAATCCTACAATCGTATACACATATATAATATGCATATGTATTCAGAAGGAAGGCCAATGTCTCGTATTCACAGGCATACTCGTATTCGCGTCGTCGTGACACTTCGACCTGATTGGCATTACTGGAAGCAGGCTACACATACTGGACAGCTTTATACGCACTTCCTTTTTATGTTCGTGCTTTTTCTGTTTTTTTAAATATTTTTTAAATATTTTTTTAAGTACTTCTCAATATTCTATCGACATATCCCTTAGGTAACAGTCCTCAAAATTTTCTACTGCGTCTATGCCATTTTAATATTTATTTGTCGACACGCACGAGAAAGAAAGAAAGTAGAATAATTATTAAAATTACCTCGAAAATTCGAATTTCTCTTCTTTCTCATTATAGCATACACTTCGCATAACTCGTTGCTATTTATATCGAAGAGTCACATTTTTATATTTCGTAAACAATACTGCTTTATGCTTCAAAATACATTTGGCCGAGTGAACTTTTCAGAGTTAGCTAGCGGGAAAATTAATTTATGGACGAAAGTCTACGTCGTCTGCGTACTTTTATTGTGTTTTGGACACCTAGTCGAGATCATGCATTATGCGACGATTTCAACAGAGCTTTTAATTGCTTTCGCCGCTTATCATTTCTACACTTCTTGAGTCTACGGTTTGCATTTCAATTATTCTTCACAAGATGCAACTATATGTTTAACAGGGGGCTAATTTTATACTTTATGTTGCTTTTCTCTTTTACTTGTTTCGATAAAATTAAGTTTTGCTGCAATTGAGTAGAGTATAAAATATCTATGAGACAAAAATTTATTTATATAGCAAGTCTAACTGTAATTTTGTGTTTTCTGTAAAAGAACTTGTAACCACAACGAAATGAGTAAGCCACCTCTCTTAGATTCTCCGAATATTCCATGAAAGAAAACATATATTATTTTGTTACATTATTATTTCATGTATCTTTTGTTCGCGAAGCGATTTATCGGTTCTCTATGCCAATGGGGCGCAATATAAAATATTTCGCATTTGGAAATCTCGTTGGTTTCTCTCCTATTCCTTCGTTTCGCCTCTTTTTATTCCCCTGGGCTAATTCTTTGTGCTTTTGGTTTTGTGGTGTCCTTTGGTACCTGACTACGAACTACTGCAACTGCAACGCAACTGCGACAACTATCGTCCACGACAACAACAACCATCGCCTACAGCGTGAGGCCGCCTGCACACAATCCGTACTATGTCACAAGCCATACAGCTGCCGCCCAGGCTGTGGCGGCGGCGGCAGCAGCGGCGGCTGCGATGCCACCAGGCCCAGCCGCGAGCACGGCGAGCCCGTTCGTAGACATAGTCGGCCATCAGGCCCATCAACAAGCCCAGTCAGCGATTGCCGTTCCAGTAATGCCACCAGGAGCCGGCCGTAGCTTACACTATCACACACACGCAGCAACACATGCATTGCCACACCAACAATCACCGCTCACCTATCCCAACTGGGTTCCATTCTCTCATTTCGGCTGAGAATGGTTACGCTTGAATTAAAACGAGCAAGAGTATCATCATCATCATTATCACCATCTCTGCCCGTCTTTTTAGCCATCAGAATTAACGCCTGGCATTTAAACCGGACGTAATCTCAAAAGACTGCATTCTATATCATTACAATTCGCATTATCTTTTATGATCGCGCTAGTCGTAGAAAAATCATAGGCGCTCTTCCAGCGAAATAGTATTAAAAAAAATAATATAATCCAAGTCGGACAGAATAGTAGATGTGACGAAAATAAAGGTATACTACAGCCGATACATTATCGGAGTGTGCTATAAACTGTATGTACAAGAGTAGTACCGTCGTAAAAGAATCTCTTCTCCAGTCTTTTTACTACGAATTATCGATAAATGCGAGGATGTAGTTATAGATATACATGTTAGACGATACAGAGAATTTCTCTATGTTGAACTAAGCAATAAACTTTACCATACAAAGTTAGAACGTATATTATCGATTAAAATTGAAACGAGATATAAATTGAAAGTTTGAGTGTTTCCAAATTTTATGATGGATAAATTCAACCATCGAATAGCAATATAGATTTAAACGCGAGCTTAGAGAATAAAAGCGAATAAACATGGTGTGCATAAAAGCAATTAGAATTTTTAAAGTGTTCTCATAATTCTATATTAGCCATTATAGCTTTCATTGATATATGCATTAAAAAAATAATAAACAACACATTCATATGCACGTACACACAAATTCACACGCATACATTTACAGAGGGTGTCCCAAAACTAACGCCATTTCTTTCGACTGCGAATTCTTTAATCAATTTGGACTCGATAAGACAAAGTCTTTTTCGATAGAAAAAAAAATCGCCTATATATAACAAATTGCTCAAAAGAACAGCCATAGTCTTATGGCACCCCATACATCATACATTAAATCGATACAAGTACTTATCGTGTAATTTATTAAAACTATCGATTTTATCTTAGCGAAAGATTTATTAACATATATGTACAGCACGCGTGCAACCGGTTGACCATTTTAGAATAGTATTTTTATACGTAATATATTAAATGGAAAACAATAGAATTAATAATTAACGGTGTCAGATCATATTTCTGCATCCATGAATCATCAAGAAATATTATAATCATATAACATTAATTTCTAAATTATTTCTACAGAATATGATGAAACAACGCCATTGTAAGAGAAACGATTAATTTACGTAATTTATTGATTATACAAAAAAAATTTGCTATTAGGCTATTTCTCTTTACGTTTTCTGAAAATATTACATTAAAAACTTGTCGCAGCATTTACAGACTGGAGGTGAGGCATTTATCCAATATAGGAATAAAAGTGATTTACCGAAATATTTTCATAGTCACACATGTTGAAATATCGATCACGCAAAAACCGTTTTTTTTTTAATTTTTAATATTGAACATAAAATGCATTTGTATAAAGTTTAAAATTATTCAAACCTGTTTGTAAAAGAAACGTGAAGGTATTCGTATCGGCATATACACGAACGATAAAACAGAGATAAAATTCGAGAAGAAATAAAATTCGAAGTCAAATAGATTGAAACTAGCCTGCAGATAAAAACACACACCTAGTATGACCTCCATCGCACTAACAAATGCTAACAATTGTCAGAATCACAGAACGGGGTGGTCCACCCTCACCCCCACCTGCCTCATCGGAATCTTCCAACGTGCATTTGAGAAACAGGTAAAGAAAAAAAGAAAAGAGAATCAAAAGCGGCATTCGCACACACTGAATCCTATTTGTGGATGAGAGAAAACAAAGAAAGAAGCGCAGAAGAACAGAAGCTCAATCGTTTCTGTTTCGTCCGGTGCCCTAGATAACACAGAATTCGTCCTTTAACATTTCAACAATTCGATTATGCTGACTGTGCTTTCACGTTCTCTCTGCTTCTTTGACACAATAATGAAATATTGCCGTCACGTAGACAGCCATCTCCCTGCTTGGTAAACCTCTTAGTTTGTGTTGCACTGCTTACCTTCATATGCACCGTAATCCGTTCACGTGTACATATACCTAAACTGTAAACTATGTATCATTAACATGTTACATATGATACATCTCTCGTCAACAATACTATTGTTAGCAGTTAGCGTTATTTCCATCCTCATCGTTGTCATCACATCGCCATTGTGTCGTCATTATTATAGTATCTGTATTATTCTTATTGTATTTGTTTTATTATTATTATTATTATTATTGAAATATTAGTATTACGAGTATTATATTAATATAATACTAATACTATTTTTGAGAATAATATATTAACACATATTAATACTTTAGTATTTTTCATATTAGTAATATTATGTTTATTACGATATAATTATTTTTTTAAATTTTATTTTTAGTATTTAGTATGATTATTATTAAACCGAAGAGAGATTGGATGTTTGTATCAGTATTTAAGTTTAATAGCGCATGTACATAACGTTGTACAAAAAATGAACCAAACTTACGAATTTATCGTATATATACATCGATTACTTATGTTCATTTTTCAAAATGTATAATTCATCATTTATAATTTACACAAAGCCGATCAAATATTACGCATATGTATATTCATAAAAAAAACTATTTAGGAATTAACTGTATATACTTAAATTACCAACTTATATATGTATATAAGTTAAGGCCCGTTTTATATACCTATCCTTAAAAACTTATCAAATAAATTATATCAATTGAATAATCACTTTAGATTTTTTTGCAGATATTCTAGAATTTACATTTTTTTAATTCTTTTTATCTCCCAATAATTTATATAACACTAATTTTGCATACTTATGATGCCTTTTTGCAATTTGTACATATATCTAAACATTTGTATGTATGTTCCTTTCTTCATGTTCATAAAAGAAACAACACGGTTAAATTTTATAGCCAATAATGCATACTGATAGTATAATTTACATAGAAGTAAAACGTAATTTCGATTAATTTAAAAATATATCAATAATGGAACGATATTCCACACATGGTATTTTGTAACCTGATAGCCTACGAAATAACGAAGATATTAGGGAGTTTTTGTAATACCGTTTATCCCAGATACGGTGAACGCTAAAGTCACGTTATCCTTTTCTTAATTAGTTGTGAAGAAAAAGATAACATGACTTTAGCGTTCACCGTATCTTGGATAAACGGTATTGCAAAATCTCCTTATTAGTAATTTCAATAATGACGAAACGTTGAGCGTCTGCAGCTGAACTATAATCTACTTTATTTCATTTTTAGCTTCTTTGTCGTTAACTTATGGCGTTGTCAATGAGTCCAAAACATTCAAAAAGTACATTTAAATTACAAATGTAAATATATTTGGTTAGCAAAAGAATTTAAAAAATCCTGAAATCTCATGTACCCTAACATCTTCGTATTCGTCCCCACTGTGAACGTTATTCATTCACGCAAAAGGAGATGTTTCTTATCTTGTTGTTTTCGACAGGGGTACAAATCCATTGGCACCAGACGCGGTGGATCTAACGCAATTGAATTCCGTCAGCGAGTGGCTAGCTTCTATCAAGATGTCACGATACGCAGAGAGCTTTGAGCGGGCGGGCGTGACGACGTTAGAGGCAGCAGCGCGCGTCACCGTTCAGGAACTCACGGCCCTCGGCATAACGCTCGTAGGACATCAAAAGAAGATCATGAACAGCGTGACGGCATTACGGGCGCAAATGTCCGCCACTTCACAGGGTTTCCTCGTGTAACCGCGACTTCAAAATCCCGCGAACGGATCGTACGTAGAAATTGACTGATCGGCACGAAACATCGCTATCCCTATGGATCTCACGAATTCGAGGTGCCCCGACGTGTCGTCTCTGCGAAAGGCGAGATGACGATCCTCCCCCATGTATCATCTAGGACTCGTAATTACCTAGTCAGAGCGACGATGTCCTCGAGAGAATATCTCTTCGCGCGAAAATAGATCCGTTGAACTAATTGGAGGTTGACAAAGCTTTTATAATACCTCCGAAGCGGTACGCAAACATCGTCTCATTTTAATCGAGAGATTCAAAGCATTCGTGCTGCAGACATTCCACGTTAGCGAGAATCGAAAGGAAATCCATTCTTCGCATTTACGACTCTTCTCAACGAGAGAGAGAGTACGAGGACCACGCATTCGCCATCTCGCATATAAAGTGCAACGACTTTTACTGAACTTGTAGAACGATATACTTATTGCGAAACTTCCGCGATTTATAAGTGTCAAAGAAATCTAACGCCTTACGGGAACGGATTATTCACGAAGCTCGTTTCAGGATGTCTTGAAAGATCATCACCATGAAAGAGTCTTAACGGGATCAATGTAATATACTCTCCCACACGAACAACGAGCGCCAATACTCTTTCGTTTCCTAGGCCGTTTCCGTGATCGATTTATCTAAAGATCAGACTGACAACGGAAATAAACGAGCCATCCTTACAATCACTGCCGCGAAATCTTTCATCACCAATGAATGTTCTCCTTTTAGTTTAAAGTATTTGTGTAATAACTGTTGGATTGTATACACTATATATTTTTCTTCGGAGACCTTCATTAAGATTTACAGCCGAATTTTGTTTTTACTATTCTATTATCGCGCTTGTTAGGTTTTGTAACATTTTGTACTAAATGGCAGCTCATTTTAATACGTATTCATCTGCGATATAGAGCATTGAACGGCGAACATATCGGCCTAAATGTCGTTCGAATATGTCTGTTCCTGGCCTCTTTTCTTAAGTATACTAAAATTACGTGTTTGTCTGTGACACTCGACATAGCAATACGCATCTGACAAGGAAAAACGACGATTAGAGAAATAGAGAACCGTATCACGAGGGAACTGTACCAAAAATCGGATCGTAATAGTTTCCGAAATCGGTAGCGTGACAACAGTGTAGGTTCATTATTTCGTGTAGTTAATGTAGCAAGTGCATTACATTATTACGCGTATGTCGCCTCGGTAATGTACACGATCGAGAGCAAGGGCGAATGTTTAGCGAGACGTCATTATTAACTCTTTATGCTAAATTACAACTTATGCCTTCGCATTACCTATAAAATGTCGTACACGCGCGGCCTACATATAGGTATACCTTTTGATTATAATGACAAACGACGAAACGAACGAAGCGAACATGTGCCAACGCGAGTGTGCAAGAGTTATTCTAGCGCGAGACTGCGTGACACGGGATAAACGAGCGGAAAATGAGAGGACGTGTGAATGTGAGTGCGAATGAAATTGCATCGGTGAGTGACGAGAATCTGCCGCGACCCATTTTTTCGCGCTATATTCATATGTACACGAGCGTGCGATCACGAAATCATTCTATATATACATATATATATAAATAGATATTGTGTTATAAATACTACACTGTGAAAAGGGACGAACGGGAATAAAACTTTCTGCCGGAAAAAGCACAAGAGATATCCGTTCGTGCCGCAGAACAAAGGAGGACATAGCGCGAGGAAGAATGATTTCATACGCGTCCCTTATTAGCAAGCAATGCGTTAACATATCAACATTATCGCGAAATGCAATGCGAGCACAAGAAGGGACGCCCTCGCGTGCGTCATTACTCGAGATCGAGTTGGAATTACTCTGATTAATCTTCAATTCTGTCCTCGAATCGTAGCGAATGACAAAAGAGAAAAGCCAGCCGGAAAAAGAGAATAACGTAAAGAGAATGAAATGTAAAGTCAGAAGGTGTAAGATATGCGGACAAAATACTCACGTATACGCGAGCGACAATGCGTGCGACTGATACGAGGCACGCGCCTTCACGAGGTAACATTTTTTTATTTTCACAGTCCGACCGAGGAGTTTCCTCGCGAAGCAACGTCCATTCCAATATACATGTATCCATAATAGGAATCCGTTTCCTTTCCTTAGAAGATGAGAGAAAAAAAGATAGAACGGACGAGAGGCTTGCTTTACCGTATCTCGTTACATCCGTATTCGCTAATTGTAAAGACTACATCCCGGGTCGCAATACCCGGGATACGCACGTTACCGGCGACTTATCTTAAAAAGAGACCAACGGAGCGGCAGACATATGCGTTCGAAAATATTGCGCGTGAGATTAAAACGGCTTCCAAGTGAGTCCGGCGAGCCACGGAGAAATTCTTTTATTTTCTAATTTAACGGTTTAACGCTAGTAATATAGTCTACGATGTATATTGAAACGACGTTGGATCGCGACAGACAGAAACGGAAGGTTGTTTTGGGAGGCGAGATTTCTCGCGTTAGATAAGATACAAGACAACGACAAAGCGAACGTCTTTCGCAGTCCCAGCCAATTCTCCTTTAATCAAAGATAAAGCGAAGGTCTTGCCTCTGCAAAACACTAGACTGGTAATTAAAATCGATCGCTTCTGTCTTGAACCGCGATTCAACGATGCTTCTCTCGTAAATGAAATGTTGCTCGAAGTCATACCGCGAGCGAGAAATGTCGGAATACGCTCTGGTATCTTTCGACTCGCCGTACCTCCTTCCGCGCACGTATCGGTAAAGAAACGGAAGGGAAGAGCGAAAAGCATCGCGGAAGGCCGCGCGGCGAGGGCAAAATCTCCCTTAGGAAAAACAAAAAGAAAAAAGAGAGAGAAGGCTACCGAAGAACGGCGACGATTATGAAGCAATAAGTGAATACGCAAATGCAGATTTTTATATAGAAAATGTTAACAAATTTCAGAAAATATTAATTATCGATAGCGCTATCTTCCTAAATGTTCGTATTAAAGATTAAATGAGAAAAAAAGTACGATAAAACATAAAGGCGAAATCTTGCGGGATCTCGGCCGAAGGGGAAACAGAAGAAAGAAGAGTCGTGCGCGCAAGGCGAATTCGCGCCACAATCTCGTTTGTAATAACTTTGGTAATAATTCGGCCAGGATCCCGCAGACGGGAGAAAAAGGTCTTAAGAACTTTCTCAAGCTGTAATTGTCTGTGTTTTAGCGACGAGTCTGCGAGTGCGACCTGAAGTTTTACGGATACAGTTAATTTCGATATTTAGATTTCATAGAGCTCTATCAATATCACACAGAAACACACACATGGCTACGTGTTAGGCACAGGGGGAGAGAAAATATGCGAAATCGAAAATATATTAGATGAGAGCGAGGTACGTCGTGTAGGACTTCTCCGAGTTTTTTTTTTTTTTGTTTTGTTTTCCTCGACTTCTCCGCAGAAATCTTAGGACCGCTCCCATTCTACAATTTTTTCTTTTTTTTACAGAAAGTGACGAAATTTCGCTCTATGCTCGCAAAGTTTTCAATCATACTTCATGTTACATATTTTAGTTTTTCCCCAAAAAGTCTATATCATTAAATATAAATAGACATATATATTTATATATAAGATATGTGTAGATGTCTTCTTTTGTATAATTTCTGTCTACATGTAGAAAGAGTAATTTAAAAAATAACTTTTGTATTATTTTTTTTTTCAAAAAGGAAAATTGCAATTACATTATACATATATATATATAATATTCTATACGTAATTTCACATATAAATTTTATATTATATATGATTTTATATGGATAATTTTTTTATTTCCTCAAATTTCACTATGCATAAATTATCCTAATAATTTTGCAATTTTTATTATTTTTCTTATATGTACGACCAGGAATTATAGAAAGAAGAGAAAGGAAACATATTTATATATAATTATATATATATGTATTTAATATTTACTTGATTAAATATGGATTTTTTATTATAGGAATTGTATACGTATAAAACTTTATTTAGAGAAACGAGATCGGAGAGAAAAGAGCATCAGGAAAAAACCTGAGAAATCAAAATTGCTTCAATTCGCCCGAGTGTCTCCGTTGCGGTGAATTTTTGTTTTTCTCTTTAGCGCTTCTTTTTTCAATTTTCCGGCTAAGAAAGAAAGCGAGAACGGCAAACGGCTGATGAAAGCAAATCGCCTCTCGCTTATTCCTGTGTAATCGATTTTATAATTGTGTACTATTATTTATTAAAAGAAGAAGAACTTATTTATTTCTTAGAGATCTGACTAAATTGCAAAACGTTTTAATTATCATAAGTTATCTATTACTATTATAGGGCAGAGCGACGTATTCTTCCCCTATTTCTAGAGTTTCTGAGTGAACTCTGTTTTGTAAAAAGAAGGTGAAACGAAGCTACAACTACAGTGATAAATATGAACGTTGTATCGAATCTGTATGCAACTAATTATATATTATGTTTAGTTAAGCGTTAATTAAATGACTTACGAGCGCGTTGTTTTCTTTTTTTTTATTTTTACTTTCCACGACTCTCTTTACAGCGAACTCTGTCAAAGTACCTGCTTCGAAAAACGAAAAGCTACGAGGAAAAGTAAAGCATTACACACAGGTACCGTCCTATATATTATACATAACTCACAGGAAGAGAGACAGACACACACGCGTCGCGCGTAATCAACACACATACACAAAACACATACATACATACGTACGATAATTTATATACACTCGCCGAGCTGAGTTTTCATAAAAAAAAAAAATTGGTTAAGCGAATCACCTCCGTGTGTCTTCGATTCATTGTATAAAGAAAAATGCAAAGGGGGGGAAAAAGAAGCGCGAACAAGGAGTTACTGTCGACAAATTTTGGAACGTGTCTAAAAACAATTTTTCCTATGGTGTTGTCAAGATGATGTTGAATGTACATAAGATATAATAAATAATATACCTTATACGATGTAAATCGCGACCCGATTTGTTCCTTCTCTATCCTTGCATCTTGCTAACGCGCTATTATATAATTATTGCTAGCATAACGGAATAAAATATCAAATTTTGATAATAGTAATATTTCTTTCCCATTTCTATCAAGATCGATCGCTACAGAATTAATTTTAATAATTATAATGCGTCACGCATCTTACTGTTGATTGTAATTCAAGTCTTGCATTGCAATTTTTGTTAGAAAGACGTAATGTAATTTAAAGATTATCATTCGTGTAAAGGAAGAAAAATTGAAACGTATCTATGACGAAAAGTTTTCTTAGAATTTTTATATAAATTGGAATAATGTTCCAAAACTCAGAAAGTCTACGTCTTTTCTTAGAATTTTTAACATACGTAAATTTTAAAATATCCTAAATTTTTTTATTCTATAATTTTTGGAAAAATTGCTTAAATTTTTTCACATTTATAATTTATTAGAAATTATATACTCTCTCTCTAGAATAAGAAGTTTTAGAATATCTCAGAGAAGTTCATACATTATATATGAAAAGTTTTAGAAAAAATGCAGACTTTCTTGGCACTAAAAAGTGCTTCAGTTTGTATTTAAAAATCTGATTCTGAAAAATTATTTGCAAATTCTGGAAAACTCGTCATAAATGTAAAAGAAATATGCACATTTGAATTACATAATTAGAAACTTTTAAATTAGAGAAAGTAACACGCCTTGTAGCGAAAAAAATTGAAAATTAAATAACATCTTGGCGACCTCTGTCGATAAAGATCTTTGCGGAAATTATTACAAAAAGTTTTCTTATAATATTATATTTTTCGAGCGGATTAATGCTTGAAAAATATACATATATAATTACTGCTTTATATTTATTACTACGTTTACATAAATCTTTATTTTTTTAAATTATTACTTTATATATAGATGATAAAACAAAATGCTAATAGTTAATATATTTTTAAGAATTATTAATTTATTGTTATATTTATTTATTTAAAATAAAAATTTTATTATCAAAAAAAGAAATAAATATATCAATAGTAAGTATTCTTAATTGTCATTGTTAACTCGTATTTTGATGGATAGATGGCAGCATCAGATAATTTGTTGTGCGGTGCGTGCGTTTCTTTTTGGAGTATGCTGGAGTAAGCCGTTTCCTCTTCCGTTTGGATCTAAATAAGGTTCGTGGCATTTTGATACAATTGTATAATATCCACATTGCGTGTATCAATCGTCAGATGCATTAACGTTATGTGCCTTATACAGTGATTTGCAGCGTTCGATTATGCTTCGCGATTCTATATAATCCCATTTTTCTCACTAACAAAATAATTAACGTTGCAGAACCAAGATGGTACAGCGACTAACCTATCGACGACGCTTGTCGTACAACACAAAAAGCAACAGAAGACGTGTGTAAGTATCTACGCAAAAATAATAGTACATGGTAGTATCAGATGAGATTCATTGGTTTCCATTCACAGAGGAATTTCATTTTGTTAATAGCGCAGTAGTATCTTGTAGTAACTTGTTGAAGATTGAGGTTATGTTTTGATCATTTGCTTTAAGTTGTGTAAAATTCACATGTGATGCACAGTAACATTATTAAACTTAAATTGTTGCTCTTATCAACATTTATTTAACTATCATTACTGCAAATATTTAATCTGTATTCTGCAAAGTATTTACAAATATCATATTAAAGTTAATCTTTTTGGCAAATTTATAAGTTATATATTATTATTATACAAATTGATTAAGATGAATTTTTTTTTATAGTGTACGTACACCGGGTGGTAAATTAGTTTACCAATACCTGAAAAAACCCAAGAAGATCCCAAGATGTGGACAATGTAAAGACAAGCTCAGGGGTATTCAACCCGCAAGGCCAATGGAACGTTCACGTATGTGCAGACGTAAGAAAACTGTCAAGCGAGTATACGGTGGAGTTCTCTGTCACAAATGTGTTAAAGAAAGGTATGTGTTTAACATCCTAAATTGCTCATATTTTAAATATATTTTCAATAAATATCAATGTTAGACATTTGACAAAATTATCCTATAATGTATGTATTATAAATACTGTTACACTGAATTGAACGATTATTTGTCTTCAAATTAGAATTAATTACTCCTTACATAAATCTGTAAAAGATCCATATTACATTTCATATAATATATACAACAAATTGCACTAATTTTCAGGATTGTGCGTGCGTTTTTGATCGAAGAGCAAAAGATTGTCTACAAGGTTATGAAAGCACAGCAAGCTTCGGCAAAGACGAAAAAGACAGAGAAGTAATCTTGTGCTTTTTATTAAGTAAATAAAACAAGTAATAAAATCCAAAAAAATGAACTGTTGCTACTTTTTTTATTATGGTATGTCTTGTTTATTGTATCATACTAACTTTGTCTTTGTGAATTATTTCATAACATATTCGTACAGTAAAACCTTTTTTCATTAAAAATCCTGTATAAATATAAAATTATTTATCTATTCTTATTCGTGTCTTCTAGTCATTTGAATTGAAAAAATTCTATTATCGCTTAATAGTTTAATCATCTGTGCTGAATGCTGCAGTTAGTATTTACATTAATTCAGTATCACTTTTCTTACAATCACATTTTTTATATATTTGTTCTACTTTTTCTATTTTCTTAATTTAATATACAATACAATGTTTCTGATCGCGACAACTATATTACTATATTATTATGATGAATATTTTTAAAAGCAACAAATCGTAGTTTTTGAGCTGTCAATATTCAAATAAATATTAATAAAAAAAGACAAATGAGAGCGAACACTACAGTTATTTTAGCATAAAAATTTTTATTCAAAGTGTATTTACTTGACTGTCATTCTATTTCCTTATAAATTATTAATTTCCTATATCGAACGTTTCGATTTTTTTTCAAACCATCTTAAGCGAGTTTACCATACAAGGAAGATACGCACACATTTTTAAGAGCAATGTACGTAATGTTACACGCAAGTTAATGACAGGCGCGGGAATGCGTGCGCAGAAAACGCATGGTGTAAACTCATTCCATACTTTGTGTATACGTGGTTGCATTCAATAGGCGCACGTATGACGAAAGTATACTTCGTAAAAGCATCACACGTAACGTCACGAATTACCACGAATCTATTTTGTAACTCTGTATAATATGATGTTTGTATCAATTTTTCAACTAAAATACCGGAGTAAAATAATAGATCATTAAATATTTCTCATTTAAACAAAATACTTTTTTAATTTGATATGATTTCACTTTCGAGATATTTATGGAATAGTACCGTTAAAGAACTTTTTAAGACTGAATTTAAATAAATACAAATTTTTTTGCATCTCGGAATTAAAAGAGGAATCATCCATTTCAAGTTGGCGAAACAGTCAGTAATCAAACTTGCGTTAGTCCTATATAGGAGATGTTGCACGAAGGACTCGATTACTCTCTCCGCGTATGGCGATCTACTTGCAAAAACATTTGCGGCTTTGGAGGGAAAGGGGACAGTCCTGTGGACGATCGACGACAGGTATTGTGCTGCCGATTATGGCAAAAGGGTTACTCGCAAAACCCGTCTCGCGGGGCCGTGAGTCTCGCTAGCCTCGGAACACAAGTGCCTTATTTGTTCGGCACACGTATGGACATATATGTACCCGGGTATACGCGCGCTATAGTTTCCACGGTGGTGCAGAAACGCGGCGAGCGGCGAGAGCTGTAAGGCTTGTCACCTGAGAATGCGGACAGCGCGGCGAGCTGGTATTAAATACCTAGCGTTCCCTATGTTATGCTACGCCTATCGTTTACCGTGTCCTGAAAAATGTTATGGCTAGAACCCGCCGGAATTTTTGTTTACCGTCAACCCGTTCGTGGCCCCGCAATAGAACAACCTGACCGATTCAAAATGCGACGAATATATAATTTATTTATATACTCTCGTATTCTTAAATGTACAGAGTGCCTTTTACTTTTTCTCAATTTTGGCGATAATTTATGTGAGCTGTTTTTGGAGTTGATTACTCTTTAATAAGAATGATTTACATTAATTTTTGGATATCAAGAACGAGACTGAAAATAACACGCTTTCGAAATCATTAATTGATGTCTGACGTACTGAGAGAAATGTTGCGTAATGGACAACCATAATCTTAATACGTGAATTACTATAATTTTATGTTTTAATTTATAAATTGTATTCTTATTAAAATTTTTACTCTAACTAAAAATGTAGAGTGCCCAAACTAGTTGCTAGAACATTAAAATATTTTACGCAGCATTATTTATTACCTTGAGTTTCTTATGTAATTATTTTGATAATCCAACAAAGTTATTTTTTAAGTCTGTATACTTAGCTAAATTTATAGATATTTTAGAAAAATCATTCTTTCCATTAGACTGAACATGCAAATTTAGCAGTTAATTCTAATTAACGCTTGGGGACGGAAGAATTCAAACAAGAAATATTTTTAAGACTGATATTATCTCACGAAAAGAACTGCATCCTTTGTGGTATTTGCGATCGCCGAGCGATCTTTGCGATCTCCTCGCAATGGACTGCGGGACGTGACGCACGGCTAGAATGTATCTTGTCGTTTCCTTCTCAAGTTAAAAATTCCTGTGTAACTTGTCCACAATGGGTAGAACGAAGAGAAGTAACATGATGACTCGACACGCAAAAAAATAGCGCGACGAAAAGTCAGATGCCATGAGGCTAATCCGATTTCATGGGATGGGTTGGGAACTGCAGGTACAATGCTCTTCGACCATGATTTAAAATTTTCCATAGGATCTTTCTCACCGGTACGCAAAACATCCTTCTCGAGGCCGTATCGAAAATGATCGCTGCGGCTGACCGTTGGTCGGCGCGGCATTTCGTCTCGGTTCAATTGCCTTGGAATCGTTGCAACCACCGCACCGCAGCTGCGAGTAGCAAGCGAGATTGGTACGTACACCTACTCACGCGCATTGCAATTTTCGATTCCCTCGAGCGTGCCGAGATGCATCGTTCTCCGGCACCGAGATGGCAAATGCATTTATGAAGGAAAGGAAGTAATATTTTTCGAAACGAGTTGTAGACAACGATATTTATAATTTAATCCTATACAAGAAAAAACATGGAAAGAACGATTTTGTTAAAGTATCTTGAGATTTAAATTAATATATTAAATGTAGATCTGAAAATAATTTTATTGAACAATTAAAATAACTATGTAGGAAACTCACAAGCATGATGAGTAATAAAATGTTGAATGCTCTCTCAAGCTGGTTGCTAGCATGTGAAAATTTTTTGTAGCTATAAAAAATGTTCACATTCTAGCAACCAGCTTCAGTGAGCATCCTACATTTTATTACTTTGATGGTCCAATAAAATTATTTTCAGATCTGTATTTATATTTAGCTAAATTTTGAGATACCTCGGCAAAACAACTTTTCGTGGATGTAACATTTTTTTCTTCGGGTAAAATTAAATATCAATTCACACACTAATGATGCGGACGGTAGCTTGGGAGAGACGAGAATGGGTACTCGTACAGTTCTCTCTCTCTTTCGATAGATACGGCAGTGGACGGGGGAGGCTGACCGCTAAATTTTGCGCTTCCATTCGGAATTATACAGGAGGATACATTGGTCACAAACAGCAATTGTCCGGTGTCACGTTTAATTGACGGTTATAAAATGTAGCACGAGAGCGTGCAGTCGAGAATAATTTGGCGTGAGACGCGCGAGCCAGCTCTCGGAGAGGAGATGCGTCGCTACGTGATTCCTATATAATTTTCTGGATCGTGTTTAGCGAAACGACAAGTAGGTGTTGTAATATGCGTGTCCCTATCATTTCGCGACATTATTATTAGATAGACGCGCTTTGCATCGCATTACGTCGCGTTATCGTTATTATTCGCGGGAAATTCTCTACTACTCAAAATAACGAGCGGAATTAATCGATGGAATAAAATCTGAATCTCAACACTTTGTTATAAATAGATAAGTATACATAATTATAAAAATATAACATCTGAATATATTTTAATTCTCTATTTCTATACAAGAGACATATCATAATAAATCATAATGCATTTAAATTATACATTTTTTGTAATACGCATAGTTGTATTAATTATATTATTAATGTTATAATGTCATATAATTTTGATTACACGTGCACACTATATTATGCAATTATGTAAAGCGCAGTACACGAGATTAGGAACAATTTGTGCCACAAAAGTGTTTCAGAAGATGCGCGTTAGCGTATGATTCCTATAATTTCCAACGCTCGTGTTTGACAAAATAACAAGTGGGTGGGTGTCGGTTTTCACACCCGCGGCTCGGCAGGGCCTCTTCGGAGAATGTAAAAAAGGGTGGTATACGAAACCGGTCCCGATGAATCTTTGTTATATGAAGCCCCCACATATCGTTTGCCGCCTTCTGCGTGTGCCTATAAGGACGAAACAGCTAGTCTCAGGACCGTATTTGCTACGAGAGATACCTATACTCTATATATTTCCAGTTGTCGTTAAACTAACTTGATGATAGTTCTTTTTCAGACTCCTAATCATATTATTATTACGATCGCTTCTTTAATAAAAAAAATCAGAGTCGACATCGACAGATTATTGAAATTATCAACGTAGATTATTACACAACGTGTCGTTTCATCTTATTCTTGATATTGACAATAGTTCAGTTGTAAGAATAAATGATTGTTAACTGGTGGTTCATCTTTATGCCCATTCAACGTCGACGAATTAAATATAGCCGTTACGTCGAATTCGCATGTTCAACGAAGCGCCAAATGCGGCGAGTCCTCGTTCATTAGCTTAAGCGCTCGATTACATCATGCCCGATTAAAATCAAATGTAAATCGTAGCTCTCACGAGTCGAGGATGTCTCATCGTAATGGTTGATCATGCTCGAGCATGAGCTTTGCAATATAACTGAAAAGGTTGTCGAAAAAAAATTGAGAGAAAATGTTCAGTCTCTATAATACTACATAATTGAAGAGAAATTTTTCAAGCAGAATTTCAAAAAATGCGTTTTGTTCAAAATTTATAATTTTCAGAAAACGAGGCAGAAAGAGTCATAAGAAAACTGTTTTACAAAAAATAACAATTCAATCAGTAAAACGTGAAATGTTCAATAAAATTGCTAAACAGTTGCTGAAAATGTTAAACAAATACATTTTGTTTGTCTCTAATTAAGGGACATAATGCACTTTAAATGTCAAGATTTTTTCCAGTACATAAATTGATTGATGTAGAAATGCTTTCAGAACATCATAAAGTAGCTTAAAATATGAATCTCTTAACACCTTTAACTAAAAAAATGCCACCTTTAACTCAAAAAATAAATTTTAGAC